ACAAAGTACCGCGCGCAAGAAGACGCAGCGAACGGCCGCGACCCCAAAAAGATACCCGTCCACAACCTGGAGCGGCACGACATCCAAAAGCTGGCAAGCTCCACGCTACCACTAGCACAAGCGCCACCTTGGAAGAACAGGGACGAAGTGCCCTTTCGCGAACCCCCAGACACTACACATCCTCAAAAGGAAGGGCATGGGGAAGCGCTACAACATCGAATAGATAGATCGCAAAGCCATACACGGCAGCATCAGGAGATACACCCAGAAGACGTACATCGTTGCAATCACCGACATCTTTGGCACGCTGCGCCCTGCATCAGAGATTGGCATACTGGCCGCACGTGCAGGAGACATCGTGGAAACCCGCAGAGGAGGAGCACTACGTCCATGCACGGACAACGACATCCCCCCTTTCGACCGCCATAGCATTACTCCACATACGATCGGTGGACTGCACTGTGACGAAAGCGACCTCAGAGAACAGCGAGTACTAGTATACTTATGCCACCAACGAGAACTCGCACTCCGATCAGCAGTGGCAGGCACTTACCGAACGTCACCACTACCCACCAAGGAGATCGACCACGTGACGATCCTAAAGCTGAGCTCGCGTACCAGCGACTTACCCAGATGGCCCGCCGTCGTCGACAGTTCCCCCATCGAACACCCACCCCAGGTGCTACAGGAGATCGCCACGACCCCGGAGACATGCACAACAAGAATCGACTGAACCACCAACATCCACGCGGAGGCCAAGACCAGGAATATCATCGTTCACTAGGTCGATGCTATCCCAGGCGGAGACGCACTGCCAGAGATAAGGGATATACTTTTGTTCGAACCACCACAACACCAGCGACCTACCGAAATCCTGGCGGGCGGCATCTTGCTGATAAAGGTCAACGACATTCACGAGCTACCCGAACAAGACGCTCACAAAGAAAGACAGTGCCTCATCGAGGACGAGGAAAACCACAGCTCACGACATTTGCTTCAGCACCTCTAGGCATTACGCAATGCATGGTTTTCAGCCCATCAACTGGACCCGGGGCTACTTCCCCGACTGGAATACAGCCTTCTCAGAAGTCCGACCGCGCCAAGCACAGCGACCAGCACGCGCGATCCCAGCAAATACTGACCTGCGGCTCATGCAAAGCAGATCAACACCGCAGGCCCAACATACCATCCCCTTACCTATGCCGACTGTCTTCCAGCTCTTATACAACCAGGACGCGACTCCGACGCCGTGCCAGCCGCCGCCGCCGCCGATTGGACCACCCCCAGGCAGAGCCCCAATATAAACCACAACGACGACGCCGACCACCCGATACTTCACCGCAGCCCGGTTGCCCCGCCAAACTACAAACACGGGGGCGCATTGCGACCCGACCCCAACCGCTGCGCGGTGCTGCCGCCGGGCTGGCAGGCCCGCGCCGACGCAAACAGTGGCCTCGACGATCGCAACCTGCAGACAGGAACCGCTCAGTGGATGTTCCCAGGCGGCGTCATGCACGATCCATGCTTCACTCAACAGCTAACCGATCAGGACGTCGAGGCCTTCAGCATCAACAGGGGCGGCTGCTTCTACCGCAGCCCCAGGTCGAGACCCCCCCCCAGCGACCGCCCTCAAATGCCAGAATACCGTGTTAAACGTAAGCAAGTCGACAAAGCAATGACGCAGGCCATCCGCGACCTACTCGACAGGCTGAGGACCCAATGCCAACGGGAGCAAGAAGCACACGAATGGATTGATCGTGTACATGCATGGTGCAGCGACATCGGAGGCGGCACCTTCTTCTCCCACCTCGAGGCCAACCAGGGCCCCGGGCCTTTCCTCGCCTTCGGCAACAACGCGCTCACGGTCGCACCTATGCGGGGGGGGCCCCGCACCCCCTCCACGCTTCGGCCGCATCGTCCACCGCAGCTGCGCAGCCCCAGACCAACGCTCGCACCACGCGACGACCACAGCACCCTCGAGCGCGAGCTGCACATCGAAATATGCCCAGCTCGAGACCCGACCGCACGCGGAGTCACAACTGCGCAAGAGCGAAGGCGCGGCGACGACTGAGGACGACGACGCAGCCCACCCCAGCCGCACAGCGGTGCACCTACGAGTAGCGGAGACGCAGACATCAGCGCAACACCAGCAAACATCGGGGGAGAAAAAGATACGGATACGCGTTGTCCCCCTTCGTTTTCGGCCTTTCCTGGTCCTCCTGGGGAATCCTCGTTGTCACCGCTGGATTCGCCTCGAAATTCTGGTCAGAACGCACCCCAAGAGAGGTCCGGGGACAACACGTATCCGTATCTTTCCGCCCCCCAAAAACAGATCCCCGCTACCGACTCCCAACCAAGTGCATCAACCAAGCCACCATGGCGTCTCTACCTCAGCAGCGAAGCCAGCGAGATGCGAAGCACCGGCTGCCCCGCCGACAGTCGGAGAAGACGCAGTGGAAGAGCCCACGCACGCGATCGACTGCGAGGGCAAGACCAAACAGCGCGAGCTCGACTCGCAGCAGCGACGCGCACCCACTACCGAACCTAGCAGCTTCAACCCGATTTCCAGCGACAGCACGCCAGCAGCAAATCACAACCTACCACCCGCCATAGAAGGCGAACCACAAAGGCCCACTGGATGGCCCCCCATCACTACGACCGCTCTCGAGAAGGTCAACCCCGACGCAATCACCTTCCCGATGGGAGCAACTATACGCCACTCGTTCCACACTGAGCTGGCGGATCCCCTCGAACGCGGCATCACGGTGAACGAGGGCGACGAGGTCACAAACCTCAGCATGTCTTATAACAGCAACAATGACCTATGGGCACGAGGCAGCATCACTCAGACTCACAGCAGGCGGAGCGCCAAACAAGCTCTGGCATCAAACAGCATCACCGAGTACCGGCCCCAACACAACGACATCCAGGAGAAGCTCGACATCCTTACCACGGTGGTAGGCAAACGACACGTCAGCTACAACCAGGCCATCAACATCCAGGAGGAGATCACCCTGGCCAAGGAATCCATGTCCAAGCTCACCAACAGCCTCTCAACGAGTCCATCAACAACCTACGCTCTGAAACAACGGCGATCGCCACCCTCGCCATCACCCGCGCAAGACTGGACGGCCGAATGAGGCGCCCACGCGCCCGACATTGTTACAGCCAAACGACACGTCTTCCCAATCTCCAACCTACGCTCCAACCGACCTTCATATCCGAGCATGCCCTGATCCTCATCTTCCGCATTGTCCTCTCCTGCGGCAGTGCACGGATGTATGGTGCGTCGTCTCCACCGATTGCGCCTCCGACCTCCATGTCCAGAACTGAACCTACCGCTCTCTCCCAACCTTCTCCACCTTCCTGGTCCTCGTTGTCTCGTCCTGCTAACTTGCACTTCCCCCTCTCTTGTTGTCGGGGCGGATGGGGTGGGGGGGTGATCCCTTACGAGAGGTGGGGCGGGGGTGGGTGGGGTGGGTGGGTGGGGATGGGGGGGGGTAGAAGAGATCTACTCACTGCGCCGTGCCCACCCACCCACCAGCGCCTATGACCTTGCTCCCACCGCAAACCCCCCACTCCTTCGTTATGAGCTCTCCTCCTCTCCTCCCCTGATGTGGGCCCGCAGCTGCGCGCCATTCCATTGACCGTTTCAGCAGTGCCGCCCGGGAGGTCACCCCACTCCAAAAGAGCTAGCCAACTGCGGCATCTCACCTCCGTCAAGAGCAGCCACCGCGGCTCTCAGTTCTTTGCCCCCAAGAGCGAGCCACTGCGGCTACTCCCAGGCGGCCTTTCGTAGGCACTAGTTCACACCCCTTCCTCCAGCACCGCTTCCTGTCCTTATCTTTGCCTGCCACCGGCGTTCTGCCACTTTCAATGCCATGGCCAACCACCTGGACCAAAATAACCTCGGCAACCCGCTGGGCCCCCAATGCCATGGTCAACCGCCTGGACCAAGGCATCTCGGCAACCAACTGGGCTTTCACCTTGAACGCGCGCCCACCTACCCACCCTCCTCCGCCGCCTCTTGCTCCTCTCCGTCATTACCTTCCTCTTCCGTTTCCTCGCCTCGCGTTCGTTGCGCAGTGGTGGTTTACAAATAGTGCGTTCCTTTTTTCCCGGTTGTGGGCCCCGTGTTTTTTCGGTTCCTTTTGTTTTTCCCTGGCGTTTTCGGGTTTCAATTTGCATGCGCTAGACCACGGCAGCGTTTTTGACCGTCGCTTCCCCCCCTTCCCCCCTCCATTAGTGTTTGTTTAATGCTGCTGCTTCCCATTCCACTCTACCGTTCTTCCTTTTTCATTTTTTCCCGAATGCACCCCCACTCCACTTCGGGCACTCAACCGAGGTGGAGGGGCAGGACACGCGGCTGCACGTGAACAGCGATCTACAGCCATGAGCGAGCGAGCGGGAGCAGGAGCAGGAGCAGGAGGGGGAGAAAGGGCGTGGATATTGTGTGGGGGGAGTAGTACAAAGAGAGGGGGGGGAGGAGTACGAAGGGGAGGTCGAGAATGGGGGAGGGGGATGGATGGGGGGGCAGATAATTCCCGGCGGGATTTCCTTGTCTGACCGCCACCGTTTGGAAATGGCACGCACCGCGCGTATTCCAGGGCCCTTCCTGTTTGAAGTGGCGTTTTGTCGCTTGCCCCTGGGACCGTGGCCCCCCTTCGCAATGCTTACTTTCTCCGCGAGGAGAAAGACGCCGTCGGGAGGGAGAGAGACACAGTGTCGCAACGAGATGTCGCTCTCAAACGGCACGCGGTTGTTTGTGGAGCAGATGCGCACGGTGGTCGTTGTCTGCCACAGCACTGTATCGCACGACTATGTCGTGCCATGTCGTGGTGGTCGAGGATACTGGTCAGTCATGCCAATACTCCGAAACTTGTCTCGAGCAGCGGCAGGCATGCCGCCTGTACCCACAAGAAGAGCAGCAAGTGTTAGCGGTGGGACAATGGAAATCGCAGATTCCCGCTTCGTGACACGGCGTGCGTCGGAGAGGGGAGGACTTCAAAGTGCTCCTGCTCAGCGTTCAAGTTGATGGACCAAGGCGAGACGGAAATATTGGTGGCGATGCGAGGTTGATATGTGCAACTGGGTTTGCACGAGTGCCTTCTTTCACGCCCGCTGAAGAGATGGGCGAGGAGGTGCACGATGAGGGATGTGGGAGGAGCGGGGATGAGATGGGGTCACGTTCCAGCGGTCCCCGCCATCCCATCTTCCCTTCCACAACATACGGTGGGGGCGTTCGTTAAGGAACGTGCCCAGGAGGCTTCAGACCCCGGAGCGTTCCGCATGCGATGAGGGCGGCGGTGATGTCCGTAGCCGATACACGATTGGCATTCCACTTGCCTCCAGACCTTGGATTCCTTATCGAAGTTTTGCATACAACATGCCCTCACCGTACAGTTGAATGAGGAACACTTTTCAAAAGGGGCTCGGCCGTTCTTTAGGCTCGCATGCGTCATGTATCGTTCCCTATGCGTTTGCATACATATATATATATATATATATATATATATATATGTACCTGTATACATATATATATATATATATACATAGCTATTCCTCTTCCTATATGTTTATAAGTCGGGGCGGGGGGAAACCCCTTTTTCTATGTATATGTATATGTATATGTAATGTATATGTATATATATAATATATATATATATATATATATATATATATATATATAATATATATATTCCAATTCTTATATTTTTATTACCCGGACCCCCCCCCTAGACCCCTCCTCCAAGGGACGGCCGGGACGCCCTTTCGGACGTCTCGGCGGCCCCCTGGACGCCCTTGGAAAAGGTGCGGTGGCCCTTCTGGGCCTCCCAGGGCGCCTCGCTGGGCCTTGCGAGCAGACTGAAGGCGATTAGAGGGGTCGTCGGAGAGGCGCAAGAGAGACCCAAGACAGCGCAAGAGCGCTCCAAGAGGAACCTCGATGGTCTGAAGACGGCCCAAGAGGCCCCCAATACACCCCAAGAGGCCGTTAAGAGAGCCCCAAAGAAGCCAAAATCGTCACATTCCCTCAGGAAATACATTTGTTGTGCATATCCGCTTTTTGGGTCTTCGCAGCGTCCAAGACGGCCCAATGGGCCCCCAATCTCGCCCCAAGACGGCCCGGGAGGCCCCCTAGAGGGGTTGAAGGCGGCCCAAGGGGGCCCCCCAAGACTGCCCCAGAGAGCACCGAGACTGCCCACAAGAAGCCCAAGATGCCCCCAGAAGGTTCCCAAGAGAGACCCACGAAAGCCATGGGATACCTCCAAGGGCGCCAATGGAGGCCCGCAAGAGGGCCCTAGATGGCTTCAGAAGACCTCTGGAGGGCCCCAGCTCCCCAAGGCGGCCCAAGAAGCCCCCAGGCGGCCCAAGAGTGCCCCAGGACGGCACAAAAGAGCACCAGAAACGACCAGACGGCGTTCTTCTACGAAATACACCAAGCTGACCCGACGATCTTGGTTCCACGCTTGAGGCTCGAGGTTTCAGCAGCTCCCCGATCGAGAGAGACAGGCAATGGATCTAGATTCGACATTCGACGATCGAAGATTTCCTGAGTGCCTGGAGCCCTCCAGGCATTCGGGAAGCGATCAAAAATCGAGCTACTGTGACTTCTTCGGCGTGTCATGGGAACGCTCCTTGCTTCCTCAAAGGACCTTTGCGCGCGAAAAAAACAGCATGATTCCCCCACTCCTGCGCACAAGCGTGCCAGCGCATCGTCCGGAAGCGGTGTCAGCAGGCACCTGGGATATCGGAAAAATGGGCGGGTCGCCCGTCCAGGCCTCGAGGTCCTCCCTGCTGAAGAAAGCGATGATTTATTGCGTTGCCAGGGAAGCGTCCGGAACAAGGCGCAGTCTTGTATGTATATATATATATATATATATATATATATATATATATATATGTGTATGCCTCTTCATCTAATGTTATACGTCCGGGCGGGGGGACCCCCCCCCCCCCGAAACCGGACTCCCGAGATCTTCGGCTTTGGGACCTTCCGGACGGGCCTCGAAACGGCCCCCGGGCCTCGCAGGGCGTTTTGCCAAGCCTTCGCAGCAGACATGGGGCGATCAGGGGGGTCCTCGGAGACGTCCCAGAGACCCCCAAGACAGCACAAGAGCGCTCCAAGAAACCGTCATACCCCGAAAAATCGTTCCAAAACGTTCCAAGAGGCCTGCAAGAGCACCCCCAAGAAGGCCCCAAGAGGGACAAATCATTGATTGTATGTCGGTTTTTGGTGAATTTGGGGTTCTACTCTTTTCGGCTTCCCGACGCTCCAAGACGGCGGTCTTCTGGGCGTCCGATGTCGCCTAGGAGGCTCCAGAATCGCCCCACAACCACCCGAAAGGGCTTCCAGGCAGTCGAAGAGAGCGCCAAAACGGCACAACAGGGATCCAAGATGGCCCTAAGAGAGCCCCATGGCGGCCCAAGATGGGCCCAAGACACCCTCCGAAGCATTCCAAATCGTGACCGGGGCGTTCAGGGAGACCGCGGTTAGAGGCAGGTTGGCCGTAGGAAGCCCCAGAGGCCCCCAGAACACGCCCAGGAGGCCTCCAGAAGGCTGTAAGAAAGCCTGAGAATTTTGGTGAGGCCCCCAGAGGCTCTCCAAGGAGAAGCCTCCGCAAAAAGAGCTGAGGAGGATGGGGAGAATGCCCAGGGTGTGGCGAGAGTGAGGAAAAATAAACATGGAGGAAGGATAAAGAACAACATTATTATAACGGCGATGCCAGAAAAGGCAGCAATGAGTTATCGCTAAATTGTCGGCTTGACCTTCCTGCGATTTCCGCCTGCGTACCAAACTTCAAGCACCATGGTGCATGGCGCGAAGCGCCAATGCAGTCTTGGATGTGTATATATATATATATATACATATATATATTTATACATATATATATAGAGATATGCATACATATATATATATATATATATATATATGTGTATGCATTGATATACACATATATATCGTTCCTTATGCACTACTCATTGGAAGAAAAGGGGTTTCGTTCCTTGTTGATCGTTCCTTAGGTCAGGCCGATGCATGTGATGATCAAGACTGCGGCAATCTGACGTGTCGCCGCGCCGTTTGCGGCCATTGGAGGGCAACAAAAACGCCACCTCGGGCGCGGCCCGCTCGTCTCTAGGGTGCGTTAGCGTCGATTAAGTAGCCTCGGGTAATCGACGGGACAGCGCCGATGTAGCGTCGACTTGGCGTCGACTCGCGTCGATTAAGCATCGGCCCGCGTCGATTCGCAAGAGCCAGCCAGCAAGATGGCATGGGAGGCCCCCTTGAGTGGCCACCGAACGCTCCCGGCGATGTGGAGAGTAGTAAACTGCGCGGGCCGGTGAAAGTGGGGCTGGAGCGGAGGAGGAGGAGGAGGAGGAGGAGGAGGAGGAGGAGGAGGAGCAGGAGGAGGTCCGCAGCGCTGCGGCGAGAGCACCATGTGCAGCAGGGGCATCAGGTAAGGCATCGGCCTGTCGGCAGGTGCCCCGCGTCCCCCACTGCCAGCAGCGAGCGAGGACGTTTTTTTTTGGGAAAGAACAATGACACAAACATAAAAACTTGGAGGTCCGCGCGGATTTCTCGGATCGGCGCTGGGGCCGTTGGTCGGCGCCTCCGGCGCCGCCCCTGGCGCGCTCCGCGCGCCAGGGAGGGGGCCCAGCGCAGATCCACGAAATCCGCGCGGACCTCCGAGCTGTTATGTTTGTGTTATCGTTCTCGGGCCGGGCGAAAGGGGGGGATTGGGAAAGGGGGGGTTACGAAATCTGCTGCATGCAGCTGGTTTCGGCCCCACCGAGGGGCCCATTCCTCGATACGTGGGCGCCTCCGGCGCCGGGAGGCGCCGGAAAATCAGCTACGCGAGCTGATTCTCAAACCCCCCCTTTGCTATCCCCCCCTTTCGCCCGGCCCGATGTTCGTTCCCCAAATTTTCGCAGCTCCAAGGCGGCTCCCGCCCTCGGGAGGCGCTCCAGCGGCCGCGCCTCGCCAAAAGGGCGTTTCGGGGAGATGCCCGGATCCTCCCGAGAGCGGCCACCGGAGACCCGAGTTATCATGGCCCGGAGACCGCACTCGGCGGCGGCGCGCGCCCGGGGGGGAGTGGGGAGGAGAGGGCCTTCTCAGAGGGCGGCGGAGCTGCTCAGAGGCCCTCGCGCCGTCACCCGAGTTTGTTCTCCACCTTTTCCTCCTCCTCCTCCCCCTCCTCCTCCTCCTCCTCCTCCTCCTCCTCTTCCTCCTCCTCCTCCTCCTCCTCCTCCTCCTCCTCCTCCTCTTCCTCCCCCTCCTCCTCCTCCTCCTCCTCCTCCTCCTCCTCCTCCTCCTCCTCCTCCTCCTCCTCCTCCTCCTCCTCCCCCTCCTCCTCCTCCTCCTCCTCCTCCTCCTCCCCCAGGGCATCGAAGACTTCGCAGACGGCCGGGTGATCCTAGCCTTCTGAGGAGTCCCGCCACTACTCAATCCCCCTGCTCGCTCGCCGCCGACAATGGCTCTGGGGGCTCACAGAAGCCCCGGGGCGCCTCAGGATGCTCAAGTCTCGAAGAAGCGTGTGCTTGGGACCGCATGTCCGATGAAAGCGGCGAAAGCGAAGCATGCGCCGAGCCGAAGCAACCCTGCCACTTTTACTTTCACTTTCACGTTCACACACACACACACATCAGCTGCGCGGCGCTTCGATGAGGACAGTATTTCGCCCGCTCTCACGCGGTGCCGCTGCCGCCTTCGTGTGATTCGGCGAGTGAAGCATGGGCCGCGCCCGCGCAGGAACGCCACTACCAATTGAAATGCGCATGGAGCTTGGGCGAGTTTTTGCGCGGAGCCCCAAAACTTGGCGAGTACAATATATGTCCCGCGCCGAAGCGGCAGCGCCACTTTCCGGCGAAGTCTGCGCGGCGCCGATGCCAGAGCGACGTTTCGCCATTTCGCGCGGCATGCGCGCCCCGTCCTATTCGTGCCACGGTGTGCTGCATCGTCGACGACGACGCCCGCTTCAAATACGAGCGTCGATCTCGGATTGCCCCCTGACGGCAAGATGGGGCCATGCGGATGTGGGGGCCATC